CTCTCCCAGTTTGTCTCCCTGAGTGTCATCGTGCATATTTTCCTTGTTGGTATCTTGGCTGCATTTTTTTACAACTTGGAGCTTACAGAAGTAATTATGTACCTTACGCTGTTTTTTTTTTTTTTTTTTTGTACCTCGTCCATCTGTCCCTGCTATATTATTTTCAAATCATTGTTTTTTTAACCTTTTCTGGCACCCATCCACTTCAGTCTTACAGTACAATCTGGCCACCATTTTCACTGCACTTGCCTCAACTTCAACTTGCCTCGAAGTACTATTCTTGGAAGAGTTGAAGAGAGATGGACATACATTTTGTATGTAAAAAAAACAACAACTATGACAGCTCATTTCGTGAATTTGTCCACCTGTTTTTGCCTCCTACTTTTTCCCGCCTCCCTTCTTTGCAGCCTTTCTCTCCTAACTGTGAGTTTAAACATGTTTGTATCTTGTAATTGTAATGATGTTACATCTTATTGATTTTACCGTAGCCTGGTATTTGACCTACTCCCAGCTCCACCTGAACCTGCCTCTACTATCATTACAGCTTAATTGATGAATCACATTATGATAAAACTTATAGTACAATTAAACAAGGCAACTGTATGTCAGAATCAACTATTTTCATACAAATGTCAAGTATAAATGTGGCATTTCTATTGATCATTACTGTAATTGTTACCCACGTGTAGATTTGCCGTGGATCTTCTCACAGTTTGGACAGTGATATATGTCAATATCTGGAGCATCGTCTTCATCCACTCCAACACAGCTGAAACAAAAGAAAACAGTTACATGACCGACAGGTGCTAAATTAACCAGATGCTTGACTGCATTTTCTCTATTTGGTCTCCCTCTATGCAACTATTGATTTTTTTTTAACTCCAGTTCCACTTCCTCTCTTTAGCTCTTGCTGGCCATATACTTCCTTAAATACTCAGACCTGAAGACATGTTCAGATCCAGCGACCAGATACTCCATTACATACCTGGTCATAATGTGCGTAAACTAACCTTTTGTTTTGATCATTCTTTTAATTCCTTGTACACATCTGGGGTGCCTGTCTTTTAAAAGTTTTGCCAAGTTGGAAGTGTTTCCACACTTGGCAGGACTGTGTTGAAGCACCGTATGCACAGTGACCGTAGTAAACCCTGAGAGCACGTGCACTTGGTTTATCAATGGGTTCAAGCGTAGTTAAAGTCGCTGTAGCTGCCATTCTCTCCTATCCCTCTCTCTCTCTCTCTCTCTCTCTCTCTCTCTGTCGCCTTTCTTCCCTCACTCACTGCTGCTCCTCTGCTGAGGGGCTAATAAATTGTCTCGAATGTCAAATTCATATGATGCAACAATGCAAACGATTTAGAAGCAGTACAGGTGTTTTCTGTGCTCATTTTACCAGCTCAAGACTTGCTTACAGCACTGAATGTTTCATGACATCAAAATATAATATATATTTGAGACTTTGAGTCAAACTATCTTATTTTTCTTTGTCTATCTAAAAAATGTATATCCCTCTGTTCCAATTGTAGTAACCCAATGTGTTACATAGTTAAAAGGCTTGTTCCAGGATCAACAGGCAGCAGACTAACTAAGACCATGTAAAAGAAATGTGCAGTAGAAGTGCCAGATGGGTTTAGGGTGGAAATGGGTATAAGTCATAAACAATCTCTACGCAAGAAGTACTGTAGTGCACATGTTGACAGATGATGTCAGAAAGGGTTATGCTGCAAGATGTTAACTCAGTAAAGTATGGCAGCTGGAGAGGTCTGTAAGACAGAATTATATATGCTTGGTGTAGACTTTAGGCTTTAAAGGCAAGTCTGAAACATCTGTGACATGTGCTTCGTACAGTAGAGGTGGCTGACGTAACATCTTAAACTACAGCAATAATCAAACAAATAATAGTTGAACACCTAATGAGACTGAAAAACGAGACATTGATTAACAGTACTAAGCTCCTCCAAAATGAAAAAAACTCCTGCAGGATGAGTGCATTTTTGTTTTGCATAAACTGAGAAATTGCCCTTTTGTGTAGCAACTAGGTATGTAACGATGTGTCGTGAATCGGTTAAAAACTCGATACAAATCTGTGACAATTTGTATCAATTGAAATAAAAACTGTATTGCGCATCAAGGAGTAGGCTGTGTCTCAAGAAATCATTGGTCATACCATGTGACTACACCCTCTAGTACAGTAGGTGCCTGAGTGACAAACAGAACGTGGGAAGAAGTTCTTCCACTGAGACCAACAGTGTTTCTGTAAAGAAATGAACTCTCTCCAGTTAATATATTTTAATATTATTTTATTGTTTAATATATTGACAGTTGTGTAGCCATGTAAGACCAGACCAGTTTTACTTTTAGCAAGAGATAGTGATGTGCAGTGTTTCTGTAAAGACGTGCATTTTTCTAAATATATTCTGTTAATTGTGATAACTATTTCAAAAATCATGAATGGTATTGTGAGTTGATGCGTCGTTACATCACTAGTAACAACTGTACAGCACACAGACTAGTAAAATACAACAGTTTAACTCCATTTTCCCTCCTATCCGCTCACCTTGCTGCCTCTGTTGTTAACAAGATACTACAACATGCATAACTATAGATTTACAATACCACATGTATTACAAAACCTTACAATACCTTCGGTTTATGACAACACCACATACCGAGAAAAACAACTAAGTTGTCCGAATAACCTTAACAAGTTCACTAATAATCACACTAATAATGTTTAGCCCTCCTTTTTTAGAAAAGTGTTTGTTTGCAGTATAGCTGAACCAGAACCCCTTGGCATGAGTGGCATTAAAACTGCACATACGTAAATGATTACTCAAACAAAACAACTATAACACCGTAGCCAAGTAGTATTTTAACAGTTATGTATTATATTTGTGTTTGATGTCAGACTTAGTTGCAATAATGAATTTCTAAAAACTTAACTAAAACGAACGAGTCATAGAACCATCAACCAAAACATCAACTGTAGCATAACTAGCATGTAAAAATAAGAAACCTCCGTACACATGCTGTTGCATGTGTTGTTACTACATACGCATGAATATGTCGTCTTGATTTTAGGTGTCTCTGTGTGCAGTTTAACACAGGCACAGTAGCTGAAGAATAAGTCAAGAACTGGTGGAAATCTTAATTTCACACAGAGCCTCATATATTTTGTTTCTGCACTCAGTTTAATACCTACACTGTCATTGTGATGTTTTTATAGTTCCATCCATTTGCAGAATTTCCCCCCCAAACTAACATTGCCTTTATTTAATGGTAAGACGTCTGAGCATTTCACTGTACAATACAGTATGACCTGTTCACATTCTGCGTAGCGGTAACTACGGGGAGCATTACATTGTTAACGTTTAGGCGCGTAACCAACAAACTAACAAATAAATAAACAGGAAGTATGAACGACAGCCGAATAGTGTCACTGAGCCCATCGAAGTACAAGTGTTGATGTTGAGTTGTGTGACAACACAGTAAGAGGTGGGAAGGAAACGTAACATGGTCACAGCAAGGATTTGGCCGCGATCGTTTCAATTTATGTCTGCGGCAGCGAAAGTGATGCCCCGCTAAGACACAGAAGACCTGGGTGCAGAATACTAGTTAAATAAGGACCAACTGACTCAGCGGTTCACCAAGCGTCACTTATGTCTGTGAATTTCTTCACTTAAGCTGAAACACAGGCATCATCCCCGGGTATTGTCAGCCATAACCGCCGTCTGGCAGTAGAGCTAAGCGGAGCAGATCTGCCCGAGGTCGGGTCGTGATTTTCTGCCGTGATCCATGTGAACCACTGAAAGGCCGTGGTGTGTGTATAATATCCTTAAATAACACGATAATAACAGAATAGTAACAAGTTTAAACAGGAGGTAGCAAAATAGACCGCGGCAACAGACCGATGTTTCTCCATCTGCCTTCTGCTCATACCAGCAGCGACAGCTCGGAGCTGAAAGATGACGTTAAAATTCACTATAGCGTGTTTCTAAAAGATGGAGCCGAACCAAAAGGCACTGTATTAAACATCGCTTTGTCTTATTAAAGAAATGTGCTTTGTTTTAATCGCAGAAAATGTCACAACCCTGCTCGGCTATATTTAACTCCGCCTTCTCCTTCTTCTCCAAGCGGCCTCTTTTCAGTGTAGACAGGCGGGCGACTCTGAGCCACAAAGCTGTCAAACGCAGCTAGTTCTCGCCATTTTCGTTTGTATTCCACACAAATGCAAACCGCATACCAAACAACATACACGGCTGTGAACGACGGTTGCCTCTTACCTGCCGTGGAACCAGTCTTTGCAAGCATCGCACTCGATCATAAACTGGGTCACGTCGTAAGGTAATCTGCAGATGCAATATACTGGTACAGTCGCCATGTTCAATTCACGACTACGTCGGGGTAGACTTAGGGGGCTGCAGGAGGAACAACGTCCTGCAAACAATATGATCCAGTATGATCTTCCCCAGAAAAAAAGCCAGGGGCAGTCCCGCCGGACGCATGAACCTACATGCACTTTTCCACCATGCGGCGTCCGCGTTTGCTATTTCACGGGCGGTGGGAACTACAGATCCTGTTTACCGTGAGCTTTCCTGACAAGTATCATTGTTATTATTGATATTACTATAAGCATGCCCACTGGTGACGGCACCGCACCAAGGGAGGGCGGACACTCAGAGCCAGATTGAAGGAGACGTAGGCGTCAACGTCTTCGCGGAATTACACCAACAATTAGATAAATGTACAAATTACGTCAAGAAGCAGGTTAATAGACCGAGTGAGATTAATGAACGCCGCAGTTTACAGCAACACTGCACCTCGACACTCCTATAACGTAGAGCATGTTTTAATGCAGCAGCCTTTTTTGATTTGGTGGTTGTTATAAAATAGCAGTTATAATTACAAACATTTAAATATTTTACTTTATGAATTGTATTAAATTTGAAATAAAATTATGTGATACATCCCGAACTACTACAAAATCACATGATGAATATATGTACTGTATCATTAAAATGATAATTTTATTATAAGGAGGGAGGTTAATTTAAATTTTTTAATTTAAATTTTAAATAAGATTTACACGTACCAATTAAAAAAATAAATTATTGTTAGATATAGAAAATAGTCTGTTTCCTACTTTAGAAATATTATTAGTCATTTTATAGCATGGTTCCCATTTTGTTTAATACAACCATAAACTATTTCGGAATATTTTTATCTTTATATATCTAAAATAAGAAATGACAGAAACCACAACAGTTTTTACTGCCACATTTGTAGAGATTTTAAATAGTCAAATTAGACCCTCCTTAAAATTAATGTGTTTGACAAATTGTAATTGCATTTTAAATACACATCTACCAAAGTCATACTGAAGTGCCTTTTTTTAACCCTTTATGAAGAAGATACTGCAATATATATATACATATGTGTGTGTGTGGGCAGAGTTGCATTACCATACTGTACCATACCATAGTTGTATAAACCATAGTACGACCTGACCTTACAGACACAAATAAATAAAAGATCATTTTGGTTTATTAAGACTGTAATTAATAGACCACATCTTACCTAATGTTCTATTTTTTTTATGTTTTTCTTTGCTGCGCTACCTGTCCTGATTTTGAGTGGCATTGAACAAATGATCTTTTACAAAAAGCGAGAATTGTTATGGCTATAGAAACCATCAATATTATGTAGAAAATGTAGTATAATGAACTACATCCACAATAACTTATGCAGCTTTAATATTGCCATTACTAAAGCAACAAACCCATACATGTTTAATTCAATAAACTCCTTAAAGCATTGATGGCCAAACAATGCCTTTGTTTTGTTTTTTTTCTTCAATAAACAACCATAAATTACTACAAATGTAGCAAAAGGTTGCCAGGTTTGTTGTTATAAGCATTTGGTACTTATCTCTTATCTCACATATCTTTATGACAGTGACTGGTGCCCATTAGTTTCCCATTTACCATGTGAACTATGTTGCCAAGAGCGAGCTCAGGCAAAGGTTATAATATGTAGTTATAGGAAGGTTCTAGCTAGCTTTTCAATTTATTAGCCAGTTGTGACATCCATATAGAATGGCAGGAATAGCACAGCTGTAGAACTTTCTCAGTACTCTTCCCTTCAGAATCTCTGCTGGTTAGAACTAAATAATAGTCACTGGTGTGTTTGTTAGTGACAGGAGGTTTATATCTGGGTCTGTACCTGTCCGTGCTGCCTTTTTAAGAGTGCTTCACTGTCTTCTCTGCTCAGCTAGCCAGGGCTGGAGTGGACAGGCTGTATTCCCCATGAAGCCACAAACTCCCTCAATTCACAACTTACAAAAATTGTTTTTATTGTTGTTATTTTTTATTGTTATCTGCCTAACTATCTTTTAAAACCCAACCTACCCGAAGTGTATTCTGTGAGCTCAGTCCTGGCTTATATGACACATGTATCAAACAGTTCTGCAAGTGGTACTATAATCTGACTTTTGAGAGTTATCAGTATCTGTAGCTCTACAAATATCGGATGCTTAATTTGAAGTGATCTTATTTTAATTTCATCATTTTAATAAGTTAAATAAAAACGTGTGAATCCCACGCATCTACCTGCTGTTATTTGTCTTTCTGTTCCAGCAATGTGTAGAAAGAATGTTATCTAATATACATAGGTATATGATTTATCTTGATTAATCGTAATTAATTATGATTATTTACGGAATCAATCATTCATCAACAACTGTCCTGTGATTAAACAGGCTAAGAAGTTGTAAACGTCCAAACCCCCTTTTATTATTATTATTATTGTTATTCTCGTTGTTGTTGTTGTTATTTTATCATTATTTCCTAATAATTTTTATCATCATCGTTGGCATCTTGACAGCAGTTTTTGGAGGAGCGTATATTTCAGACGTTTTGTGTTTTATTGATGTGTTTGGAGCGGTACAGGTGGAAATATACAACATGTGTCAATTATGAACGCTGAAGATTGAGAATATGTTGTTTTTTTATGACTTGTTTCACTAGGATAGCTGTACACGTCACACATAACACCAGTAACAACAAACCAGCATGGTAGTTGGGCGTCTTTTATTTTTAGAATGAAGCGTTGAGTAAGGAGTTGTTTCTACACGGACATATTTGAATGGTGCTACAGCAAACATGGACGCGGACTCGCAATTTGTCTTGCAGTATATGACAGAAATTGAGGAAGCAGCGGAAGACGTCCTCACTACTAAACAACAGGTCAGCTCTGTGCCTTTTTGTGTGTCAAGATAACTTGAGTGTGCGCAAGTAAGCTGAATGAATTAAAGGTTATAGTCTATAAAAACAAGATGCTAGAAACTCTAAAGCTGCTTTCAGAGTTATAGTAACACATAGGCGTACTATTGACGCGTACACTGCCGACAAACCGCGGTTCCAAAAAATTAAAAAAATCTATCTTGTTGCAGTTACATTTTCTTCACATAGTTGTTTGTATATTTGTACAGGAAAATAATGTTTTCAAATCGAGATTTTTCCACTGAATTCGTAGCCCATACATGGGCAAAAGTTATATAAAAAACCCCTGCATATTCTTGTGACTGGAAGGATAACAAATTTACCCAGGACACACATGACAACAGCTGAAGGATCATTTCTGTCCTGCTGGTTCTTAGGTTTCAGGTTTTTAAGGCCCCAAAATCTACAGGGTTTGAAGTATTTTGATACTTCGGTTTCTCTGTATTCAACAATAAAGGAAATCCAAAATGGGTCGTGGAGGTACAAAAGCTCTGGCCTTTCAAATCTTCACGTGTTATTATTATTACATATGATGTAATATTCTAAAAAAAATCTTTTTAATCTAATGCACAAAAAGGCAACGGAAATTTGGTATGCAAGGATGTTTATGTTTGTGTTAATGTGTGAAGTGCAGTTTTTTCACCATGTCTTTGTCGTACTTTGCTCTTTGGCTCTCCCTTTCAGTTGTTCAGTCTGTTTCTTGTTCTTTTTGTCTCATGTTCAATCAGCAGGATCTGTCCAACTCACACTTCTGATCTCTCTGTTTCAGATTTTGGACTTGAACATAAAGAGAAACACAAACAGAGAAGCTCTTAATGCACTGAAAACAGCAGTGTGTGATTCAGGTTAGATTTTAGATTAATAGCTGTTGTCTCATGTTACTGTTTATAAACAATACTGTCTGCTAACACTGGGACTTTTAACACTGGTTAAAATGTAGTATTTGTACATGTACGATCTGTAGTATAACTAGTTGTTTCAGAGTACATTGTGTGTGAGGTTGAATGTGTTTGTTGTTTTGTGTTTGTTTTTTTCAGAAAAAGTTCAGGTTTGTTTTGGAAACATGTTCATCAAACTTCCTACATCAAAGACAAAAGAGATACTAAAGAGAGGTAACGAATGACCACTGACAGGCTAACAAGTTTGTTTCTAAATTATATCTAATGTGGTATGAAAAACTTTGCCCACTTCTTTGGAAAATCATTACATCAGATTGACTTTTGCTGAGCTTTTGAAGCGGTAACTTAATTTTAACATATGTTACAGTATATAATGTGGAAACGGAAACATTTCAGCAGTGAAATACTACATATACTGTGTATATATATATATATATATATATATATATATATATATATATTATATTCTCTTCAGGAAAATATATGACTGGTGTATATAAAACATTCATAAAATATCGTTTTAATAGTATTTTGGAGTAGAGAAAATTTCATAGAGATGTGTTTATGCATAGGTATTTTTTCTTGCCTAACCATAGCAAATAAAAGAAATAAACCAGGGTACTGTTTATTTATTTATTTGTATTTATTTTGCTTTCTCATCATAGACCAGGAGCAGCTGGACATGCAGATAAATGACCTCCGCAAAGGACTAAAAGCCAAAGTAAATCATGTCTATGAGATGCAAGGTATGTTTCAGCATTTCTAATATCTTGTAACATGTTTACTGTTAGTACTTCAGGTCTTAGGATAGTAGTTTGTAAAAACAAGACACTGACAAGACATGATGCTGCAAAGTTCCTTCAATGACCTATAATAGACCCAGCAATTTATGTGGGAGAAAAATTAATGTGTCTTTTGTTTGTTTGCAGGGAAACCTGAGCTTAGAGGTTACAACCTGTGTCCTCTGACAAGTGATGAAGTTATGGCCATAAATAGTATTTTAAAGGGATGACGTTAGAACTAGCAGCTATGTCACAGTGCTGGAAAATACCACTTCCATGCATGTTACTGTTGTACTAATGAGTGTGACCTGTGCAATCCTGTTCTTATCAAAATGGTGAATCTGAATTGTCTAAGCACTGTCGGAGTCAGCTGAAGTGAAACCTCAGATAAAACCCCAAGAGGTTCAAGGTTTGGGTCAATTGATGTCACATTTGGAAACTTTCTAAAGAGCTCATAAGCTGTTTGGTCATCCAGAGAGACTATATTCTCCTACAAGGCAGCATAAGAAAAATACCTACTTATAATACTACTTTTTGGTCAAAATGCCACTTTGTACAACTGACAGTGTGACGTATACAATGTTTTGAAAACATCACCAATATCACATGTTTGTTTGTTTTTTAAGTTAATTATTTTCACTTAAACTTTTGAGCTTCATGGTTGATTTCTTTTGTCTTTTGTAAAATCTACCATATTTTTAACAAAGAAATAGATTTAGCTCCATGAACTGTATACTCTATGTATCTATACTTAAACAAAAAATCAAAATATCTAGCAGAAACAGTATTGTTTTGGGCATTAGTTTTTGATCAATGATTGTGTCAAAAGTCTCTGGTGACTTCAACAGTGTTGTAAATATCTTAGTTGACTATATCAAATATTAGAAAAAAACATAACTTACATTTTGTGTTACATCTATCTATCTATCTATCTATCTATCTATCTATCTATATATATATATACAAATATAGATATATATATATATGCCCAAGAACATGCTGCCAAGTGAATATTTAGTGCTAAAAACATCTGAACAGCATGCCATAATTTTATATATATATATATATATATATATATATATATGTATCCCAAACAATCAACTACATAAAGTATAATAATCTTTAGCATGCATTATCATTATTTTCAAACGTATTTACAAAAATACATTTGTTTAGAAAGGTGGACCTGCCAACCAAAAGCTAAATACAACTACTTGCCGGTTGGTGGCGGTAGTGCACTAACTGTCGTTTGCCGTGGTGCGCGAAGAAGCGAAGAAAAACAGACTTCTCCCTTGTAGGCTTGGGTGTTCAATACAGTTACGTTCAACTCTGCACGTTTTGGTTTATGTTTCGTGGAGCCATTGAGATTTCACAGGGTAAGTAGGCCCAAATATCGAACTAAATCTAAAATGATCTAGCGTTTAAGGTAACGCACAGTATTTTGTTAAGTTTTACCCGCTTAGCTCTTTTGCAGTTCTCTTACCCCATGCACTACACCGAAGCAGGCAGTTTTAGCAACATTGCTATGCGAGTCATTCATACAATTAAGTGCGGTTTAGCGTTGTGATGTTTACAAAACGTACTCTACGGGAAAACTAATCGTTTTATATTGGTCCAGCTCATGATATTAAATGTTAGACCGGATTCTTACCTTACCAAAAGGGTTAAGTTCACCCTGTTACGATTTAAATGTTTCCCTTGCACGCCTTGAAATTAGCTCGATATTGAAATAAGCTGCGCCCTCTTTTAATGCAAAATGTAACTTTTTTCAATATAATTATACATCATTTGCTCTGTTCGTTTACGAGTTAAGCGACCACAAAGCTGAGCAAAACATATTAGTGTAAAGAAAAACCACACACACTTTCTAACCTGTATGAGTGTATACAACAGTGACAGGATGGGCAAATTGTAACAGTGTGGACATGTCCACAGTGTAGGACTAGTACTTACATTTAATTTGGAATATGCATTCTGGTTATTGTATCATATCTCAACGCAATTTACCGCCAAAATAAGCAAAACACCCTGATATTATTATATTTGACTATATTTGACTGATATTTGTCGATTATATTCCACACCTATTTATCTTATTCGACCAATCTTATTTTTAAGGGTTGTGGCACTCTCAGGTCATCACTGTACCAGCTCATGTCCTCACCTGGACAGTAGAACATATTGGTTTTATACTTGTATCTAAATAGTATTGTATCTTCCCTGATATCTGTATTAATTCATGGGTAAAGTTAATTGACATGATCACATATTCACCATTGTCCAATATTTTATTGCTTGATAACCTAAAGCTGTGACAACTATTCAGTAGAAAATGGGTTTGTCTTATCTCCAGTACTACCAAATAATAAGTGCAAAAGAGATGTGGTACATATTCTCAACAAAAGTTAGTTGACTGCTTCTTCTTAAAATAATTTTGATACTTTTAATCAAAATGTTCTGAATTATGTCACAGGTCCTTATATGGATTGTAGGAATGATTTGCACAAAATATGAATTTCTTGTCAGCGGGTGCTTACGTACTTGGACGTAAATAAGTGTGTGTGCATTACAAGGGCAGTATATTATTAGCTAAGAGTAGCCCTTCTGTGCTTTGAAAAAGTCGCTAATGTAGTTGAGAAAAGTGTGACTTTTTTTTTTCTTTTCTGCAGCACCTTAGCTGTTCACACTGATCTCAACGGCAACCATGTATCGTCCTAAACCTACCCTGAAGGACCGACAACACCTGTATAGGCTGATCATCAGCCAGCTGCTTTATGATGGATACACCAACATCGCTAATGGTCTGATTAATGAGGTCAAGCCACAGAGTGTGGTCTCACCCTCAGAGCAGCTGATGCAGCTGGCCAAGATAGGTGAGTGTTGTCTGACATTGACATCTGTTATAAACAATTCATAAGAAATACAAGTTTCACTGTCGTTCCAAACTACAGTTGAAAACCTTAACTCGTAGGTGGGAGTCCAATGCTGGCTTTAGAATGAGCTCTGTGTGAATGTAGGTACATACATGGTTAAAGAGTAGCGAAATTAGTCAATGCTTTCTTGAAGAAAATATGGTGTTGAATGTCATTTACTAGATCTCAACGACACCTTATGAGGTGACTACTCTTTGATTAGCACACCAAGGTCACCTGCAACCAGTGGTGTATGATGGTCTTTTTTTCTTTTTTTAATATATATATATTTCATGAAACATCAGAAAAGTCAAAAGAGTAGGAACACCACAAGCCATCTGCGTAATTCCACAGAGCTCCAGCGACTTTAAATATTTAGGCATAAATCACTGCAAGCACAAACTGAAAGGAACAGTAATAGAAATATTTCAAATTACGGCAGGAACTGGTTACTATACCCTGCCCCCATGAAGACCCAGTACTCCTCAAAGAGATAAAAAATGAATTTTGAAAGTTCTGATATTTTAGAAAAATAATACAATACAAATCAACTCCCCTTCTTACTGTAGGAACATTTTAGTGTAAAGCAACTTCAGACACCCCAGTGGGCCGTAATAATTCTAACCAATCCAATTACGGGTAGTTAGGAGAAACACCTGAAAGATGCTTCTTGCTGCTTGGTGTGAACAGTGTTCATTTGTGATTAGATCCTTTTCATCTTATCCATTTGTGTGTTGCCAAGCAGATGCTAAATACCCTTTGCTTATAATTGTTTTAAAAACTCTTTCAGGCATGGATAATGATGACAGTGCAGTTCAGTATGCCATTGGCCGCTCAGATACTGTAGCACCAGGAGTGGGTATTGATCTGGAATTTGACGCTGATGTCCAGACCATGTCTCCAGAGGCCTCAGAGTATGAGACCTGCTACGTCACGTCTCATAAGGGTCCATGCCGTATCGCCACCTACAGTCGCGATGGCCAGCTCATTGCCACAGGTTCTGCCGATGCCTCTATAAAAATCCTTGATACTGAGCGCATGCTGGCAAAGAGTGCCATGCCTATAGAGGTAAAGCTGATTTGAGAACCACGGTGCACTGTTGGCTGAGCAGTTTACTCTTTGTTTTTTTATTGTCTTCTCTATTGTTTCTGTTTTTGTGTAGGTGATGATGAATGAGACAGCTCAGCAAAACATGGAGAACCACCCTGTCATTCGAACGCTGTATGACCATGTTGATGAAGTTACGTGTCTTGCCTTCCATCCAACTGAACAGATTCTTGCTTCTGGCTCAAGAGATTATACCCTTAAACTCTTTGACTACTCAAAGCCTTCAGCAAAACGGGCATTTAAGCATGTTCAGGTCTGAACTTCCCTATTATTTTATTTAAAGTTTGACCAAATAGATATTTTATTAATTCTAATTATTTGTTTAAAGCTTATTTCCTAAGAACTTTGATTCATAGTTTTCAAAAAATACTTAGGATTAGGGTTCTCAACCCCTGTTCCTTTGTTTACCCTACAGGAGGCAGAAATGCTGCGGTCAATTTCATTCCATCCTTCTGGTGACTTCCTGTTGGTTGGCACGCAGCATCCCACTCTCCGTCTCTATGATGTCAACACTTTCCAGTGCTTTGTGTCCTGCAACCCTCTGGATCAGCACACAGACACCATAAGCTGCGTCAACTATAACCCCACAGCCAACAGCTACGTCACCTGTAGCAAGGACGGCAGCATCAAGTTGTGGGATGGTGTTTCTAATCGCTGTGTAACCACCTTTGAGAAAGCCCACGACGGCGGGGAGGTCTGCTCCGCCTTCTTTTCAAAGAACTCCAAATACATTCTCTCCAGTGGCAAGGACTCAGTGGTGAAGCTGTGGGAGATCTCCACCGGACGAACACTTGTCAAATACACAGGTAAAAACCACTGCTGCAGTTCTCCTGTGTGACCACCACTGTTTTTACTTAGAGTGCCACCATTATTAGCATCCATAGGAACAAAAGATTATACATGCACAGACTTTTTGTTGGGTGTTCAAGATTTAATGTCTCTGGTTCCAAATGTTCAACTTTCTATTATTTTGTAATTCTTGGCAAAACCAAAGGAAGTAACGGACCAGTGCAATTATCTACAGCAAAGATGGAAACAAAGAAATTTGGAAACAAATTCAAATGATCATGGCTGTAAATACCTGGTGACTTTTATGAATTCATTCATACTTTTAGTGAACTTTATTTAGATCTATTTATTTAAATCAAGTGACACCGTGGGGATATGAATTACTTATGGAGAGAAATACAGATAGCAATAAATGTTCACACATTTAATGTCATAGATTAGGTGAAATCATTCTTCAGTTTTTCAATTCTTTAAGGCAACATTAGCTAGTAGCAAATCCAGTAGCTTTAATAGGACTGTTTGCTTGCTCAGTTTACAAACTTAACAGTGTGAAGAGAGGAAAGGTTTTTCTTACAGTGAGATGAACCACTAAACATATCCCCTTAGATGACTTTAACACTCACTTGTTTTGTTTTTAAATCCCTGAAATCTGTTCTTCTTCACAAAACATCCCAATAACAACGATTCTATGGTGGGGGGGAGGGGTACAACATATACAATCAAAATAATAGACAAAACAAGCATGCAGACACAGGTGAAGAAGCCAGCTGGTGGAGGGGGTTTCATGTTTTACTTGCTCTCTGGACTTGAGGTTGCAGCAGGTAAGCTGGTCATGCTGGGCTTTCCTCCCCGGAGGTCTTTACTTAGAGGGAGTAAACGCTGGAGGGCAGTCTGTGACAGTCCCAACCATGAAGAGGGCGATTATCGCAAGACACTCAAATTGACTTTGATTGCACAACAATCAATGTTCTGTAAGCACAGTTTGTGATTCCATGTCTTAGAGGTGCAGTCACTGATTGCAGTTACCTTTATTTATATATTGTGTAAACTGATGTGTTGTCTCTTTGTTTCAGGTGCAGGCTTGAGTGGCCGTCAGATGCATCGCACACAGGGTGTCTTCAACCACACAGAGGACTATGTGCTCCTGCCAGATGAGCGCACCATCAGCCTGTGCTGCTGGGATTCTCGTACAGCCGAGAGGAAAAACCTGCTGTCATTGGGACACAACAACATTGTGCGCTGTATTGTCCACTCACCCACCAATCCTGGCTTCATGACTTGCAGTGATGACTTCAGGGCTCGCTTCTGGTACCGCCGCACCACCACAGACTGACAGACTGTCATTCAGTATATAATGCAACAGAAACCGTGATGTCACAATATCCTGGTGACAAGTGTTTAGCAAAGGAGGTTGCAAAAACAGGTATCATTTTTGTACTATTCTTTCTACCTGACTTGTTTTGATGAACTCATTCTTTGTTTTACTGTTCCTTCCCAATTCACATTAGTAGAAACGTGAAAAGCAAAAATATAGTTTTACCAAATTGGATACTGAAGTAAGGTTCAAAAACTGACCGTAGTACACAAATGACCTTTTTATGCTAAAGTTATTGCTGTTTGTAAAATTTATTTTTGACTTAATAAACTATGAAGCACGGGCAGTTACTTGTATGTGATACAAGGGAAGCTAATTTTCAGCCCACTTGTTTAAGTATCAGTTCGACACTACAGATAAAGCCAACAATGAACAAAAAACTAGGACAAAGAAACAGAGTTATTATACAAATCTGACAAGCCTTTCTAAAAAGGGTATACACAGATGTGAATGAACTGTAGGGCTCAGCAAATGTCATACAACATGCTGCAGTTGGTCTGTAAACATAAGTTGCAAAGTTGTAAGTAAAAATATACTTTTTTGTACGTCAACCATTGATCACGGTAATATACTATACTAAAATAATTCTGAAGAAGTCTTCAAAACTGACTAAAAATACACTCATTTGCCTTAAAATACTTAGCTATGTCCATTTTTGTGATTAAAATTTAGAAAAAATATACTTTTTTGGTACGCCACCTTTTGATAACAGTAAAATACTATACCAATAAATTCCTGAACTAATCTCCGAAAAAAAAA